TTTCTTTTGATGGGATAAAAATTTTAGTATATAAAACAGAGAAGAGAGCTGATGGTAAACCAATCATAACCATTATGATTCCTAAATCTATTTATTTGCGGGCTTCAACTTTCTTCTGTTCTTTTGCTGCAATAACAAATAGAATTAAAATCAGCTTCAATAGAAATTGTAGATATGTATAGGACATGGGCGTTTGGCACAAGTACTTAAAAAATAATAATAAAGAGCTCGAGCAAAATAGCTTATTCCTTTATATCTGAATATTTAGTACTTAACTAACCAGTAAAGAAACATGAAATAGAGGTGCAAAAGCCATTCAATATAATATAAAACCATACCAGCCTTCTCTTCTTCTCTCTTCTTAGCAGCCTCTGCCCTTTGTTCCCTAATCATGGCTAAGCGCTCTGCAATAGTAATTAATTCGAATTCAATAAAACAATCGAATAAAATAATGTAAACAGCCAATGGTGAAACATGATAGGGTGCAATCATTAGAGAATACATAAGATGAAACAAAACAACAACAATGGAGAAAAAGGAAAGGAGTCTGCTATCAGCAACGTGCCCATGAGATCATTCCAACGAACTCATACAGAATAGAAGAAACCAGAGTAGCTGTATCAAGATTATTCTAATAAACTCATATGGAATAGAAGAAACCAACTCCCATACGTAAAAACCAACATTCTTCTCAATACCTCCATTCCACAAAGACTTAAGTGGTAAGGAAAATAAAAGCATTTCTGACACCTAACAGACAAGGTACTTTACATCTTCAATTTTCCGATTTGATGCAATTTCAATCATCATAAAAGAATATAGTCTACATCGGAATAAAACACTTATGGCAGAAAAAAACCAGTTCAAACAGAAAAGAACGGAGGAAAAGATCCTATATGTGTACAACCTCATAGACACACCTCACGTTACACATGCATACTCTCCTCTGCAATTAAATAGCAGTCTTTCGTCAACTCCTGAACGCAACTCTGTAACCATTTAGGTCCATGGACAATGATCTTCAACCAATGTTTACAAAAATCACATCATCATTTGCATCACTTATATGGAGGATTATTTTACACTAGTCATACATTATCACTCCCTATAATGACTCAAGAAGGAGACAAGTTAATATCATTATGTTCATCTCCCTTCTTTAGCACCAAGTCAATGAACATAATTTCAACCTTAGCAATACATCTTCAATTAATCCCAGAAAACCAAACAGAGTCCCATGGAGAGGTTAGAAAAAGCCATGTTGAATTATAATGATATTTGACAGGGCTATCAGAAGTCCTTGGAAACTTAATAAACACTCAATTTAGTTTTCAGTACAGTATAAATTTGATTAAGGAAGATGACTACTGTGAATCACTAGTTACCTAAATCTTTTCTTGATTGCTCAGTTTTCCCTTGTTCCTGCAGCTTCATATATCGTTCATGTGCTTTTTGCTTTTCAATCTCCTCTCTGCATTAAAAAATAGATAAGCACACAATCTTAGCTGGTCTAAAGGAAATAAACAGTTCAAATATAGAATTACATTTTTTTAGTATATCACTCACAATTGCTAACAAATTTTTTCATGATAAGTAGGAGATATAGCTTCAAAAGATGGAGATTCATGAGCAAGACCACCATAATTTGAAGCACAATGACAACATTTTCAATGAAATTAATAAAAAGGCTGGTAGCTCATTACATGCCAAAATGGCAAGGCAAAGAATTTTATCATACCCTGCCCATTTCCAATTAGTATTGTAGTCTATAAATATTCTTTTCAAAGGATGTTAAGATTTGTAAAGATATAAGTTAAACATAATGAGATAGGCATCCACAACAAAAGGTGCCGAGGAACTCTTAAGGAAAGCCTAGACTAGCATTGATTATTTAGTTACAAAGCTGAGGTATGGTCTCCGATTAAACACATCAAGGCACTTTTACACTGTTGATGTTATAATTCAATAAGTTCATATAGAAACTATACTCTGTAGTTATAGGTGATTGGTACATAATTTCAACTTTGAGCAACAAATATCTATCCTCACAGTTGGTAGAGTTACCGAGAAGGATTTAGGTATGCAAGCATATCCACATTGGAATTTCGTTGGTAGTAGAAGTTCTTTCTCTTGCCAAGAAAGAACCAAATTCAAATATTCAATGCCCTAAGCTTATTACCTTTTCACCCTCAATGTTACCAGAAAAACTCAACTAAACAAAGCGCTCCTTATATTAATTCTAGATTGAACAAAGATGAAAAAGTTACAAAGCTTCATCAAATTAAAACTGGTCTTATCAAAAAAAAAAATTAAAACTGGTCCAACAAAGAGAAATGTTAAACTATAAATGAAACATGAGAAAATCTATATTTTGTAAGGCATAACAGATAAGCTAACACTTAAGCAAATGTTGATAGAGTAAAACCAGTAAAATTATTAAGCAATAAAAATGGCCGAGATGCAAATGATAAAGCATTGATCAGTCAGATTTGAGGAACAAAGAGAATTACAAACCTTTCACGCCTTGATAGTTCAGTCGTTTTCCCCATCTGGAAGATAAAATCTCAATACTCAATTCAGTTACTAGTTTTTTTTTTTTTGGATAGGAATTCAGTTACTAGTTACAAATCAGTTTATAAGAGTAATATAGACTTAATGCAGCAGAGGAGTATTCATACAACTTACATCAATATCTTTAGCTTTGACATTCTTTGGTTTAGCTAAATTTGGATTCTCAATCTGAATAATCCCTTGGGTCCCTTTCCGTTTCTGCCATAATAACACCAATAATATGAAGAAAAAAAGGTACTTAATGCAATGGAGCTAATATCATTATCATTAAATGAAAAAAGTGCACAAAATAATTACCTCAGGCTCTTCTTCTATTTCCTCTTCAGACTCTTCTTGTTCTACTTCTTCCTTCACTTCAGCTTCTTCCTAGAATGAAAGATGCTATCTTATTTTACAAGCAATCATATCCATAAGGGAAGAGAGAGAGAACCATAGCAAAGCAGATATTTACTAAATAAAATAATTTTTCCATTTGAACACTCGAGACAACTGATTATGAAGAATAGAAGGGGTGGGTGGGGGGGGGGGGGACATCGTCAAACTTAACTGATAATCTATTGCAACCAAACATTATGCATCCTTTTCTATATGCCAAATTCAAAAAATCTCTAACCAATACAAAATGTAAAAAACAAATATGTCTTAACACATAAAGTGCAATTCCAAACTTTCCCTTACAGTAAAATCTAAAAGATGATGTAAGTACCTGATTTAAAACAACCCAAACAACCAAAATCCATGAAATTTACAGCATTCAAGTTGTCATTCATCCTCCATGCGAAATAAAAGGCACATAACGTGCCAAATTCAAAGAAAGCATCAATTTTGGGTTGTCAAAAGTTATGTAAGAAGTATTCACTTCTTCACAAGAACCGATATCAAGATGAAAAATATCTCTTCTCAAGCAATATATAGCAAAAATACATGATAACAACGAATAAGTTACCATAAACTATTAATGATCAAAAGCTAATACCAGCATACAAATAATTCCTCAAATTTGACAACCAAGAGCGAATAGATTATGTTTAAATCTAGCATAAAAATCTCACCTTCCTAAAAGTACGGGGCCTAGCTGAGCTACCAGCACCTACCATTAAAACATTAAAAGAAAAACACAGTAAGATCAATAATAAAACTTATAAAACACAAAAAAATTACAACAATTTACTGAATTTAGAACATATTTAGTATTTTTGCCTCTAAATTTAATTCAAAACTCCAACATTTAGCTGAACAGATTGAAAGAGAACAATAATATATATTCATATATACGAATAAACAAAAAAATAAATCTAACGATTCATGAATTTAATAAACAATCACTTCCATGTTTATTTGAAGCTAAAACTTAGGTTTACAATTATACAGCTCTCTATTTTCTCTATGTAGCAACTAAATCTCACACAGAAACCGGATTATATTAAAAAAGACAATACGCTAGAGCTACTGATCCGGCAGTTAAAAGATTGATATATATCTTGTGCTAGAAAAATGTATACAAATACGTAGAATACCATTCATGCGAATTGAAAAGAAGATAAATACGTAGAAATTAAAAAGAGAGAGAATGTTAATACGGAGCTCTTCCGGAGTTGAGAAATGACGGTGACCGGTGGGCTTGCCCTTGAATTTCCCTCTTCCCATTTTTTCTTTTTCCCGTGTTTCTGATTGCAAAGAGAAAACAAGAAAGGAGGAGGAGCTCAAGAGAGGGTCCGTAACTGTATATATATTGTAGTTTTAAAGGAAGGTTTTATATTATAATTACATTTAAATCATTTTATAATTTATTTTTATAAATTTTGATGCCTTTACTTTTTTAATTTGAATAAAAACTTTGTTTGAGAATATTTGGTTAGAAAATTTCAAGAAATTATAAAATTTATCATTTAATAAAATACTACATAATTTATAATACTAATTCAATATATTTAACTTATATTACATTTTTATGTATAAAATTTAATTATATGATAAAATATGGTATAGAGTATTTTCTTTTAATATTTAGATTTAGCAGCTTAATATCATATAAGCAGGTTTCGAATTCGAGTCCTTGTACATGTAAAAAGTCTTCGTTGAGAGATTTACCCATTAAAATCAAGTGTGTGATACGGGTCAGTCCAGATTAACTAGAGCAACAAAAAAAATAGGTAGATGTAGATGGAATTAATGTTAATAAAAGATAATATAAAATATATATTATTAATTATTAAAATATTATTTCAAATAATAATATAAGTTTTGGAATTAGTTCCAACATAATTTCATCGAAACTGGATATAGAATAATAGATACATGAAAATTTTAATTTATATTCTCGCTATTTATTTATAAAATTCCCTAAAATGTGTTTTTCCCCTCTAAAATTTGTTATGAGCTCAAATTTAAATAAATAAATAAAAAGGCATAAAACCTTCTTTTTAGGTCTTAAACCCGGGACATTAAGTTCCAAAACGACGACGAATTTCATCTACGAAAGCGTAGTTAGTTACTTCAATTCCTTCACGTCCCTGAATTTGAGTAAGGCCTGCAGCAGCAGCAGCAGCAGCAGCAGCAGAAGATGAGCAGTGAAGCCAAGAAAAACCCAAAGCACTTTCAGCTTAACCCAAACTGGGTTCAACTCCAACAAGTACTTCCTTTTTTTCCCTAATATTTTCCTTTTCCTTTTTTTCTTTTTTTGAAGAGTGTTTATAAAATCCGTTGTCTTTGATTCACTTGCAGAAACTGAAATCCTCTGCTAAGCCTTCAAGGCACTCCAATAACCTACAATCTGAAACCCCAAACTCTATATTAGGTAAACCACTAGCAATTTTTGTTTATTTTGTATTGGTTTGGAGAAAAAAAATGGGGTGTTTATTTAGTTCGAGTTGAGAAAATTATATTAAATATTGATTCTTTTTGTATCACTTTTTGTTTTTTAAACATTGCGTGGGATTGTTTTGTTTATAGGAAAGCGTAAGGAGAGGCCAAATTCAGACCCTGATGATGCTAAGCCTAATCCTTTAATCCCAACAAATGATGATTCCAGGTGCTTTACTTGTTATCTGATGCTTCAAAAATCAATCAAAGCATTGTGAAGTTTCATAGTGTTTATGGTACTTTATTGTTTTATAGTATCTGCAATTGTACCAATTTACCTTGAATTTTTCTGTTTAACCTGATTATAGAGAGATTATTTGAGTAGAAAAGAAAGCAATGGTTTTTTTTTAAATGTAATGTTTAACTAAACAATTGTAAATATGGAATAACTATAACACGAATTTCCCAGTTTTTTCCAGTGGCTCAGCTTATCTACACAACATGCAATCATTTTTTTTAACTTTTATTGGCCACATATCTGTTGTTTAGCGGTCAAATATTGAGAAGTAGAGAGTTTGACGTTATCCCCTATCTTATGGTCTATTCTCCAAGGTATCAAGCAAGGAGGTAGAAGAATGTGTTTTTGGTTCTTATATTTTAGTTTTATTTAAGGAAGAGAGATGTTGCAAACTTTAATGCCTGGGATAGTAAGGTCACTCTATGGTGTGAAAAATGTGATTTTGATGTACAATAGGGCACTGCTAGAAGTTCCATTCTTCCTTCTTTTGGGTTGTTGTGATGGGGTCTTCTATCTGTTTCTCTGTCTCCGCACATATTTACCATTTTGAATGACTCATCAACATTATGACAGTGTGACAGATGTGGTAGCTATGGATTGTGAAATGGTTGGTGTTGGTCAGGGGAACAAGAGTGCTCTTGGACGGGTTACACTGGTAATTTGGTTCTCCTTGGATCTTTGAATCTTACTGGTCACGTATTATGATCTTACATTACCGATAGTTGGAGTTCTATGTGAGATTGGAAAATATATAAAATAAACATCTATTTTTACCCTTTTTATGTTGGAATTGTTATTCTTACAGTTTTAAGAACAAATAATATCTGATGCAGTGTAAATGCCCTCATGTTAAGGGCCATTTGCATTTGTAATATGTTGCTTTCGCACATTCATATATTTCCAACTTTTTCATGTTTTGTTTGTAAATAAGATACAGTTGTAATTTATGCACAGGAAAATTAGATTCTATTTTGAGTTAATTTAAACATTACCATTTAACTAGATTTTGAGTTTGATATAGTATTCTTGTTAAGTTCATTGATTACTTAATATTTCAGTTCATGACAGGTAAATAAATGGAGAAATGTCATATATGATGAGTTTGTGCGGCCAGTAGAACGTGTTGTTGACTTCCGCACACATATTAGTGGCATTCGTCCTCGAGACTTGAAGAAAGGTTGGCTTTAATTTTTTTTTCCTGGTTAACTGAATGCTCTGAAACTTGGAGCATTTAAAAAGCCATTGGCTTAATTTTACGTATATCCGTTTTTTGTGTACTTTGTGAGGTTGTTCTCCTTTTACATTATTATACCCACTCTCATTTCAAGTAAAGTTTCCTGTAAAACATAATTTGATTTGAATTGATCAAAAAATAATAGTACAAGGTTTGAAAATATTTGCGTAAGTGTTGTGTGGGAAGGTTTGATTGCGTTGGGGAGGAATTTTTGGACATAATGTTTTTTTTTCTGCAGCAAAGGATTTCCGGGTTGTTCAGAAGAAAGTGGCAGAATTAATCAAGGGAAGGATTCTTGTGGGTCATGCCTTGCACAATGACCTTAAGGTTTTCCTTATCTGTTTTGTTGTTTGGTTTTTCTTGGTTTGTTTTTGTGGAAGTAGAAAACTGACTCTGTGATTTTTATTTGGATCGCTTATTTTCAACAGGCATTACTACTAACACATCCTAAGAAGGACTTGCGCGATACCTCAGAGTATCAACCCTTTCTAAAGTATTAATCTTTCATCCCTTAGCTATTATGGCCTGGATGGCTGCATTACAATTGAGTTTGTTGAGCAGCTTCTATGGTGCCTTCGTATAACAAGGGTTGTTGTTGCAACAGGGAAGGACGAAGAAAGGCACTTCGGCATCTTGCAGCAGAGGTTCTAGGTGTTGAGATCCAGAATGGCGAACACTGCCCTGTAAGTAAAATGTTCAATGTAAACCTTTTCTCCAAACACGTGGAAAAACATGAAATAATTACATTGAAACTATGCAAAAAATCGGTTGATCGATCTGCTATGCTCTAAACTTGTTTACTAGAATGTTGTTGGCGATACCGATCCAAATCTGAGATGCTGAAAGTCACAGGCTTGTGACTGGTAATTTTGTTCATTTTAGTATTTCTTTATTGAAGACCAAAGCATGTCAATGAAGCAGGGAACTATTATGTCATATTATCCGTAGATCATCACAAGAGAGGATAGTTTACTTAGGAAGAATACTTGGGGCTGGAAAGTGCCCTCTCGAAAGATCCATATTGTGGATACCTTAGCTAGAAAGTGGTTGTTTTGTATTTAGAGCTAAATGCATGAAAATGCAGATAGCATGAATAAAATAAATCATTAGCTCTTGTTGATAGAATTATGGCTTTATTCTAGAACATATTGAGGTTGCTCACGAATTACCACTCGTTTCGCTAGACTTGGTTGGTTAATCAAATGTGTTTAGGGGCAAACATGAGACTGCCTTTCCATATGTTTGCTCCATATCTAAAATGCTACAGTTCCTAATCCTAGCTGATGATATATGTTCTCATCTTTAAGGTAGATGATGCTCGTGCTGCAATGCTGCTTTACACGAAAAGCCGAAAGGAATGGGAGAAAAGCGTTAAGGATCAATTAAGGCTCCAAGAAAAGCAGAAGAAACGCAAGCACAGAAAGAAACTGATGTCCGACATCAACTGAAACCATGCACCAACTGCATCCTAATGGTGGTTGTCACATGATTCTCGGACTTCATATTCCAGATTCTTCAGAAATCACCTTCACAGAGTTCTTGCCATAAATCTGGACTGGAAGAATCAGATGATACAGCATCAGACGGTTTTAGAGAAGAAACGGCTAACCCCTTTAGCTGTAACTAACTTTGTTAGTGTGATGGAAAGAACTTGTTTAAGTTCCCAATTCATTAAAACATCAAGTTTTGTCTTTTTGGAGTTTTTCAAAGGAATTTGTGAAAACTTATATTTAGCAAACAAAACTAAGACAAGTGAAGAGGTTGTTCAGATTTTAATTCAGATCTTATGTTAATCAACGAAAAAAATTTGATTTGATTGTATGTTTTTTCACTCCATCATAGACTCGAATGACGAACAATAAATCTGGCAGGTAAAATTAAAAATATTTAATTTAAATTTAAATAGTAATGTATTTATAAGATTCGTTTATATAAAAACGTTATTTTAAAAAAAAAATTAAAGTCATGGGATCTACTTAGGGGTGATAAAGTAATTTGCATCTATAAGTTGGGACTTGATTCAATCTAATAAAATCAAATATTTTTAATGAAACTTTGAATTTTGGGTTGATTTATATCAAATTTTTTTAGAATTTTATTAGTTTATAAATAATTACTTTATCTCGAGAAAACTGTAAAAAAACACTATTTTATGTTATTTATATATTAGTAGTTAAGTTTCGATAAAATTTATATAAAAAATTAAAAATCTAATTGCATTTTTTATTGAATTTAAAAAAATCAAAATCTAATTTTTATTATTATAGTATCATTGAGATTAGGATGGGGGAAAAAAGTCATCCCGCCGTTGTCATCCGGAGATTCAGTAGCTTTGGGCCTTTGGCGACAAAATTAGGGTCGAAACGAAACCACCCACCAAAGAATTATATATAAAGCTTATGTCGTTCTCATTTATTTTATTTTACTTAGTTCGTTCAAAAATTCCGAACCTTTGGTAAAGACAAAATCTTGTCCCTCAACTCAACCCTCTATAATTACGTTATCTAAGCTCAAACCCAAAGCATTAATCCAAATTTGATCTTTCAACAAATACAAGACAAAAAAAGCCCGCGCAGTAGACTGGTGGAATAGATGGGTCGGCCTCCGACTAATGGCGGCCCCGCCTTTCGTTTCACCCAAACTGAGGTACCCTTTTCTTTTACAAGGAAATCAATTGTATTGCATGTAGAGATGTTTGGTGGTACTAATCTGGATTTTTAGTTTACAATTTCAAATGGGTCAATTAAATTCCAAGTTTTAAGTTCAATTCGTTTCTGGGTTTTTTATTTAGGTTTTCTGCTACCTTTCTGGCTTTGATTGCTTTGATTTGTTGAGTTTTTGCCTCATAGTTAGTTCAGTAGTTAGCCTACTTCGTTAGTGGTAATGTTAGTTATTGTTAAGAATTGTTAATCCAATATTTACATTTGTTAATCCACTTTTATTTATTTCTGGTAATTAAACGAAGCTTTTAGTGCCTAGACTTCTTCAAGATTTTAGTTTTTTAATCTAATTTTAGTGTATTTAGTAAATAACCTTATGCATTGCTCTGGCTCTTTTGTAAAACGATTCCACCTCAATTCCAAGTCAACTAGCCAAGGATTAGATCGTGTTTTCGTAAACAATCGTCAGTTTGTACTATCAAAGCTCATTTTTTTTCCCGAAAGATGAAACCATGAGGATAATACCTTATATCAGGTTTAGTCCAATAATCTTTATATCAACACATTATTAAAATTAATAAGTTGTTATTTCAGTCAAGTTGCTTTTTTCTGAGCTTAACGTGTATGCCCTTTAATAACATCATGGTTTAGAATAAAGGAAAAGTGGATGGTAAACATGAGAGTCTGAGACTATGAAACTATTCCTTCTTGCATTACTTCTAAATATAGGAAAGAAAAAGTTATTGTGAATAAAATTTGTTATAACCAATTAACCATAGTCGGTTCTGTCTCTATGAGCTGTGCTTGATTATGTTACAGAGCCAATTTCATTCAGCGGCTTCTTTGGTTATTGCTCAAGATAATTACAATATAGTTCTGTGTGTGAAACAATTTATTATAGTTTTTCGTTTTAGCATCTTTTTTCCAGTGTTTCAATTCTTTTAACAATGAGTTTCTAACATAACCTCTACATTCAGGTTGCGGAGATGGAGACTACTCTCCAAGAGCACCATAATCAGATGCCTGCTCGAGAGATCCTTTTAAGTCTTGCGGATAAGTTCAGGTATAAATTAATTTTCCCAAGAACATTGTGTAGCATGAAGTCTTATTCTTTCCTCCTTACAAGAAACTGCAATGAAATTTCTTTGGTTGTAGTGAGTCAGCAGATAGGAAAGGGAAGATTATTGTGCAATTTAAGCAAGTAAGAACTTGATTTCTTTTCTTTTTTCTCCCAATGAGGACATGTTTCAGCCCATTAATCTGGAAAACTTTTGTATAGATATGGAATTGGTTCCAGAACAGGCGCTATGCAATAAGGGCAAAATCAAGCAAAGATCCACTTCCCGGGAAGTTAAACATTACATCTATGCATCGGGATGATTCCAATCCCATGAGAAATGTGCCTGAGCCTGTTGCTGCTCCCATGCCTTCCCATATTACGGCTCCAATGGCTGCTTCTACAGGTAGAAGGATTTCCAATTTTAAGTCTTAAGGCCTCCTTTCTTTTCCTAAATTAAGGGTTACTAAGGACAATATTTAAAGGAACTGACCATAGGTGGAACAATAGGCTTCTCTTCTTACTTCAACTTGTCCAACCTGCCATTTCAATCAAAGTAAAGTAACGTCACCTGCTCTCCCCCAAAACAATAAGCAGGGAAGATACCGTGCTTTCTACTTTAGTTATCTGTTCTTCTTCTTTAATTATAGGTTGATTCAGAAGCCTAATCAATCAGTGATCAAAAAGAAACTCAAGTTCTTTTTCACTTTGAGTCTTCCGTGCCTCCCAATGTTTATTATCTTCTTTGTGTTATTAATTTATTATCACAAGTCTGATTAGTAGTCATCATTCTCTGCACTCAGTTCCAGGTGTTGGAAGGCACGTGTCAGATTCTTATATGGAGTTTGAAGCTAAATCTTCAAGGGATGGTGCGTGGTAAGTTTGCGATTCTGTTCAGAATTCTTCCATTCGTTTACTTAAATTTTGTTTCCCTGATAAATGAACATTTTCAGTAAACCTAATTCTTTTAAATTTCCTGTTTCAGGTATGATGTTGCAACCTTTGTGGCCCATAGATATTTGGATACAGGCGATCCGGTAATGTTTTAGCTCAATGTCAATGCATATGCCTGTGTTACTGATTCACTGTTGCATGAGTTACCGACTTGATTTGGAATTTTTGTGTTTTACCAACTTGGATTGTTCTCTATTATTACCTTTATGGCCCATAGATATCTGGATGCAGGTGATCCAGTAATATTTTAGCTCAATGTCGTCATACATGCCAGTGTTATTGATTCACTGTTGCATGAGTTCATAACTTACCAACTTGGATTATTTTTTTCTTATTTCTTATGTTTTCCTCATCTCATTTTTTTACCTGAAATTAGTTTGATACTTTCTTTTCCCGTTTCACTTTCGAATAAAATATTCAGATGGTTCTCTTTTATAATTTTTCTAATGGTTTATGCAGAACTCAAAATACAGTAATTTTCCATCTAAGAAAAGAAATCCAAAATATTTTGTTGTCTTTTGCAGGAAGTAAAAGTTCGGATTGCTGGTTTTGGACCAGAGGAGGATGAGTGGGTTAACATTCGCAAGCATGTCAGGCAGCGGTCCCTCCCATGTGAAGCATCTGAGTGTGTTGCAGTCCTTCCCGGGGATCTTGTACTGTGTTTTCAGGTGGATTTCTTCTTAAAATTTCCGATCAATGCTGGCATGCAAATTTGTGCTTGTATTATAATCAAACCTTTTCTTAGATTTCATTTTTTCAATGCTTTCAAATTTTTCAGGAAGGTAAAGATCAGGCTCTTTACTTTGATGCCCATGTCCTCGATGCACAAAGGCGGAGGCATGACATACGAGGTTGTCGTTGTAGATTTCTGGTGCGCTACGATCATGATCAGTCAGAGGTAGCTAATCACTCCATAATTGCATTGTTCAAGTCCTGTCTTTGATTATATTCATTGTAATAACATTAATCCAATCTCTTAGGAAATTGTACCTCTGAAGAAGATCTGCCGTCGGCCAGAAACTGATTACAGATTGCAGCAACTGCATGCCGCAAGTAACTTGACATTCCAAAATCAACACAAAAGTAGCACTGATCATTCTGCTGCTCCTGCACCAAAGGCTATCGGTTCATCATCGGAAGCAATGCAGAAGAAGCCAAATCTAGATCAACCCAGAACAGCCCCGGATTCACATATTAATGTTTTTGTAGCTGCACAACATACAAATCAAGAATCTAAGGTTCCAGGAACAATGACTACTAATGTGACTGATCCTGGAATTTCCCTCATCGACAATGCTGTGGCTGCTGCTGCCATTAGCACCAGTGTTGGTCAAAACACGCAGGAAGCGAAGTTATAAGTGGTTCGATTTCAGAGACTGACGTACAATGGGACAAAGGTCCCTTAGGATAATATTATGTAATTAGCAAAATTCGAGTTTTTCATGAATGATATTATTTCTGTCCAGATTTTCTTCTTTCTTCAACAGCTTTTGTTCTTGTGTGCTTAGTTCGGAGATTTCATTGAATCCATGTCATGAAATGCTCTACATCTCAGAGGATTGTTTTCATATCCCATGATGTTAATGATCTGCTGCTGAACCCTTTTATCAGCGGGCACTCCATGGCCAGTAATTGAAGTAATCTTTTAACCTTCTTATCTGGGAAATGGCCTCTATCCGTTGCAGTTTTTGCCTCAGACCCTCCTACTCTTTCTCTAAATATATGTTCTTTTGATTATTGATTTTTATATTTTTGTTTTGATATTCTTAATATTTTCTTTTTTTATTTTAATTGTTTAAAATTTTATTATTAATAATTTTTTATTCAAATCAATTAAACTAAAGATAAAAATGAAATTTTGCTAGCTGGACTTTCTATTGGAATTTAAAAAAATTAATACGAGCTAGCCAACTAAGAGGCAGTGGTCCAAGCTTGGACCACCTAATCTAGAATCATATGGCTAAAGATTGAGTTGACTCCCCCACATAACATGGCAAAATCTCATGATTTTTGGTCATATTTCCCCACTGTGACATTACAGTTGGCTTAACGATGAACTTGTGGGTGTAGTTGTAAATTCCTTTTTTATTTATTATTCATTCATCTAAAGGAATCTTAACTTCAATACACTAGTTTTGTCTTGTACTGTTCTTCAAACTCCTTTTCAAGTAAAATCCGTCACTCCCCTCGTTATTTCTTTCATCATTCCACTTTTACGTCAATTTCTTTTCATTCTTTAAAAAAACTGATTTTAATTTGTACTTTTTGCATTTAAGGTCTAACCTTTATAAAAAAATAAGTAATAATTTATGGGTAAATTATACGGATGGTCATTGAGGTATTTTCATTTTGGTTTTGAACTTTTTAAACTTATATTATAGTTACTAAATTTTTAATTCACTTTCATTACGGTTATTACCGTCAGTTAACGTTAAGAAAAATTGACACGACACGTTAAAAAATCTTTGAAAATCCTAAGCTTCTTCTAAATTGACAGTCATCGTTCCCCTTTTTGTCATCATTTTTACTTTCATTCGGTGGTTTCTCTAGTAAAAACATTACTGAACTATTACTCTTATTCTCTTTGTTTCCTTTGATTCAAACTCTTCACAAAATCTTTTAATCTCTTCAAATTTCAATCAAAACTAAAAGCTATACTTTTTTAATTTGCCACCGTCAATCATGAATCTGCTTGAAACTGAATTGTGTTAATTTTTTGGCGAAACGTAGTCTTTCCACTATTGGATTTGATCGATAATTACTTCATTCGTCTAAAACTCACCAAGAACGAGATAGTCTTTTTCTCCTCTTTTTTCTTTACTTCTTTGTGTGTTGGTGGTTTATCCATTGCTATTGGTGATGGTGGACAGTGATCGAAAGAGCGTTAGTAGAAATGAGGGCGGAAGGAATAGGGATAACTAACAATTTGGAAGAGGTTTAGGATCTTTTAATGTGTCCCATCAGTTTTTCTTAATCGCAATTAATGATGGTAACCATAATAAAAATATATTAAAATTTCAGCGATCGTAATGTAAAATTTGAAAATTTAATAATAAAGTACAAACACGTTAAAAATCCAGTGATCATCGATAATGTATTAATTTAAACTCATACAATTTATTTATTTAGAAGTTAATCAACAACAACAATAAAAATAGGGTAAAGTAAACGAATGATCCCTGATTATAGGGTATTACTTTATTTAGTCCCCTAACTATTAAAAATTATAAAATGGTCATTTTATAATTTATAATAGTTGAAAGACTCAACAAAATACTATCTTATAGTTCGGTGACCATTTGTGTTCTTTACTCATAATAATATAGAACATGGATGGGAATGATTAAAAATTTGACTAAAAAAGGAAGAGTTTTGATGCATGCATTCCTTATTCCCATCTTCTAAATCACGTGAACCCATTAAAAAAAGGCATTTGGTTTCAAACTAAACTAACTCCCTTCCTTTGATATTAAACTTTTTATAACCCATCTTATTTTATCTTATTTTTTTAAAAAAAATAACAATATTAATGGCAACTAGTAACACATAACAAATGACATTATTGTAACATATATGAAACAAACACGTAACACATTGATATTAGTTGATAAATTGTTTATATATATTTTATTATAATTCCATTTTTTTTCTAAATTAGCTTTTTTGAACGTTAAAAAATAGATATCAAAATAAAAAAAAGAAACGAATCTAATTTAAGAATTAAAGCATGTTTAATTTTATTATTATTGACTAATAATTAATTGATCTAGTGAGATGGCACACTAGAATTCTAAATAAAAATCAAAAGTTTGATTAAAAAAATAGGGCACACCAATAATTAGTCTTTTCATGACAAATCTCTACAAAATTCAATTTAAAATAATCTATCATTAGATCTTATATCAATGGTTAAGGGAAAAAAACTCTCTTTCTTTCATTACTTTATTTGTTGTATTGGACCTATTTGGAAAGCTGGAACTTGGGAGAGGAAACAGAAGAAAAAAGAGGGCACACGGATGGTGATTGATACCCCAAACACACTTTCACTGCATCTATTTTGTCATTATTTTTTTTTTATAATTTGAAGTAAAATGTTGTTTAAAAATAATTCTCAACCAATTGATATTAATATTCGTACCGCTAGCAGCCCTAGTGCTTAAACCCAAAACATAAAAAAATAACAACAATTATTTTACCACCGAAGTTATTAGAATCAGTGCTCTTTTGCCAAATTATATTAAAAATCAATAGATACAAAATTAAATTATCATAAAAATATATTTAAATTATATAATAATCTAAAATTTTAAAAATACAATCCTTGAATACTTGTATTGTGTGATTGAATCATAATTGAAATCCAACAAATATTGTATGTTTGGAGGTTGACAGATGAGTTTTGCAAATCCATAATATGGTTTTAATTGTCACGTCACTTTGAACTAGGGTTTTGCTATAAAGTTAATCCATCCTTTCCTGAGGTTTACAACCTAACATCATAATCAGTCACGTGGATGGTTTTGCAAATGAAGGGGACACAAAATAGAAGACAACTTACTTTAAATGTTATTTATACAGATAAGAGTCTAATAAATGTATTTTATAATAATAAAAATAAAATCTATTTCTAGAACAATTAAAAAGTTAATAAAAGATAGATTTAATAGTAGAGAGTGAGTAATTAAATAATTCTTGATATATATTTAAACGGATATGTCATAATCTAATCATATAAATACATGATTTTCATAATTTATAAGTGAATCTTACATGCATAAATAATATTAATGAATAAGTAAAAAATAATTTTAATGAATTAGTTGAAATCTAATAGAAAAAAATCATTATCTAAAATAGTTAAAATTTTGTTCAATTATAATTGTTTTATCTTTTATAATATCCAATCTGCCAATGAATAAAGATTCCAAACACGTCAATATGTTGCCATCTTTTCTCAGTTTATTCTTTCAAGCACAATACTAATTATAATAAGTTTAAATTACTTATAAGATCCCTATACTATATGATTAAGAATAAATTAGTCCCTTTATTATAAAGGTATAAAATCTAACAATTTATACACTTAATTTAAAAATGAATATTTTAAACCTTCAGAACTATGGTAAGAAATATTGATTCATCATATTTTACAGTGACGTGGAAATATGAACAATTTGATCATTCACGTGTTTTAGAAAGCTTGTGTTTTTTACATTGCTTTAAAATATAATAAGTTTACTCTTTTTTATCCGAATTTTACTTTTTTACTTAAAAATATAGTATCACAAATTAATTGACTCTTGTACCTATAAATAAAAGGACCATTGAAATTACAATATCAATAATAATGATAATAGTTTTTATGAATCAGGGGGATGATGGTCAGCAACGAATTACAAATCAAAGCAAAAATAAAATAAATATATACATTTACATAAAGAAAAATTTAACGGAAAAAAATCGTGAACATAAATGAAAAAAATTCACTATCACCAGCAACAATTTTATAAGAGGATGATAAAAATCACATTCACGTCATCTTAAAAACCCTAAAAAATATATGTAAAAAAACCCTAAACACACACACATTTATATAAGTGTACGAATAATAAATCCTAAACAATAAACTTGTATCATAATACAATAACTATCCATCAAAAACTTTTCAAATAGGGAAATAAATATATTATTTTTTTTGTTACTTTTTATGGTATAATAATAGTTTAACAACAATTTATTATTATTTTAGGACAAAATGCGGTTGTTCAATACTTGTTTTGATATGAGGGACCCTCTTGATTTGATAATATCACAAAAAATTAAATTGATAAAATTTTAAATATGAAAAGTTAAAATTATTTAATTATTTTAAATTAAGACAAATTTATTAAAACACGTAAGTATTGAAAAATAAAAGTATTATTATTTAAAATCATTCTATTTCAATTCTGACAACAAAGTAATATGTTTATAAAAATATTTTAATTAGTGACGTATTTATAAATTTTAGGGAAATTTGACTTTGAAATGTAGTTTAGCCATAATGATAATATCCTAGTACCTTTTCAACTTCACTTTCCTCGTTTTCACTCGTGAATGAAATTTATTAAAAGAGGGGGAAAATTTGACCAACTCTCCACTCTTCTCGAGTCTATATTCGTGTTAACACACAACTAGACTAAATAATTCTAATTTTGAATAAATAATGGGCAATATAATATATTCGAATCAACGATGTGATTTTAATAAAATTGATAAATTAAAATTTTAATTTTTATAAAATAGATAAATATAAAATTAAAGGATTAAATTAAAAAAATTGAAATTTGAAAGACTAAAATTGATTTATGCTTGAAAAACTCTAAAAGGCTGAAATAGTCATTGTATTAATAAAAAAAAAGGAAGGAAAAACACACAAAGAGCCATGCCCCATCGAACCAGAAAGAAAAACTTACAGTAAGGCAAAGACAAAACAACATTTCATCGTCTTCCATTAAACCCCTCTCTTCTTTCACTTTCTTCATTTCATTATCCCTCTCTCTCCTCCATTAATCTTTTCCATCTGTAAAGCTCTGCATCCCACCCCTTCAACTATCAAACAACCAAACCCCGTTTACTTCTTCATTGACCATCCCCAAGAAAATAAAAACTTTTCTGTCGTTGGTTTTTGTTCTTGAGATGGTCATCCCACAGTAGAAGAAGAAGCAAGAAAAAAAATCAATCAATAATGGATCCTCAGCGACCCCATCGAAGTACTAGTATAAACAACAGTAGCACTGGTGGCAACAACACGACAACAACAACAAGAAGCAGCACGAGTGAACTCTTCATTTGTTTCACTTCACGCCTTTCGTCTTCTTCGTCGATGAAAATCCCTTCTAAATCGATAATCAGCCCCGGTCGTTCAAGGGAACCTTCTTGTTCACAAATCTCTCTCTCTTCATCGCTCAGTAGGAGGCTGCGAAGTAATGGTAGTATGAAAGGTTGTCAAGCTTCACCCATGTTCCCCACAACCAGTAATGGCAAAAAGAAAGGCGGAGGTTTGGATAACCCCGAGCCGTCTTCACCAAAGGTCACTTGCATAGGTCAAGTCAGGGTTAAGACTACGAAACAGGGAAAAAAATTGAGAGCTTGTAAATCTAAAAGAAGAGAAGTTAGTTTCATAAAAGTGGATCATGGGAATGGAAGCAGCAACAATCTTGATCATCAAGATTACAACATGGGACATTTTTTGAGAAGTAATAGTCATCATCATCAACAGCAGCAGCAAGAATGCAAGAAATGGGTGCATTTTCCATTGACTATTTGTGAAGCATTGAGGGCGTTTGGGTCCGAGTTTAACTGTTTTTTACCTTGCAGGTCGTCTTCCATGGCTAACCAAAGGGATAATAACAAAGAAGGTAAAAAGAGAGGATCTGAGAATGGGAATGGAAATGGAAATGGGAGGTATTCTTCTTCATGTGGGGCTGTTTTCACAAGGTGGCTTGTGGCGGTTCAAGAAGGGGAAGGGAAAGAGAGGGAGATTGAGTTGGTTGTTGGTGGGGAAGATGATGATGATGAGAGAAGGCAAAGTAGTGAGACGATGATGAGAAGCAGCCAAAGGAGACATGTTTTTGAAGATATTGAAATCAATGATTTTGTTACTGAAAACATTGGTGATGATGAAGATGAAGCTAGGGTGAGTATCTGTATACCACCTAAGAATGCTTTGTTGTTAATGAGATGTAGATCTGATCCTGTTAAAATGGCTGCCCTTGCTAATAAGTTCTGGGAAACTCCAGTCCCTAAAGATGAACATGAAGAAGATGAAGAAACGGAAGAGGCTGGAAATGAAAGTGAAGAGAAATTGGAAGAACAAGAAGGGCTAGTCCAAGATGATACTGTGGAAGCTGAAATCGAACATGAAGAAGTGAGTGAAGTTAGCGAAATGATTGTTTCTTGTGAAGCAAATGAAGAACAAGAAATCCCAGAAGCTGAAACAGAGGTTGAATCTGTTTTGGTGAAGGATGAAAGTACTGAACTTGTAGAAGAAACAAGTGTAGAATGCCAAGATCAAGAACATGAAAATGTAGTGGTAGAAACCCAGCAAGAAAAAACATTAAAAGAACAAATTTTGACTGAAGTTTCACTTGATGATGTTGAAAAGCCACCAATTGAAGAAAATGAATCCGCCATTGAAGACCCGCTACAACAAGAAGCTGAAGATGAAGAGGAAGAAAGGGAAGATCAAACTGAAGCTGAAGAAGAAGAAGAAGATTCAACAGTGGAGGGAGAAGGGGAAACAGCCCAAGAAAGATCCGAATTCGGTAAACCGGAAACCCGAGAACCCGACTCGGAAAATGAGTCAAAGGAGAATGAAAGTCGAGAGAAGTTATTGCCAGATTGTTTGCTGTTAATGATGTGCGAGCCAAAGCTGTCAATGGAGGTATCCAAGGAGACTTGGGTGTGCAGCACGGATTTCATCAGATGGTTACCGGAGAAGAGGAAGCAACCGGTGGTTAAACAAAAGGACAGTGGAGATGAACCCAAGAGAAGAATCAGCGTTGACTCTAATCCTCGCCCTATCTTTTTACAGCCACCAAGGTATTCTTGCTCTTTCCCCGCTGCTCCGCAGATGGATACGGCGGTTGCTGCTGCATCTAATGGAGCTGGCGGCGGCGGGTCTATGACTACTACGAAAGACCATAAGGTTGTTGGAGGTAAAGGGTATGAGCCGTTTGCGCTCACGCGCTGCAAGTCTGAGCCGAGAAAGCCATCAGCTAAGCTAGCACCCGATGCTTACTTTTGGAAGAATAAGAAGCTCGAGCCGACTTCACTTGGAGTTGGTGCCGCTGGAGTTGGGTTTTGATGGGCCGAGTTCGGTAAAAAAAAAATTGTGGTAACTGGTAAGAGTAAATGTTGTAGTTTATTTGTTTTTGCTTTTTAGTCCTTTTTGAATAGTAAAATTATCTTTGGGGTTGTTTTTTTTTCTTCCTTTTTAAAATGCTCTAGCTTAATAGCTTTGATGTGTAAATAAATTTCATTTGAAGCAAATTCTTTTTTTTACTTTTTGCCCCTTATTGTAGGTTACAGTAAGTAGAAGTGTAAAATCCTTAAAAGTGTTGAACTTGGTGAGAATTGGGAGGTAAGTTTTGTGTGATATTGATATTTGATGAATTATTGAGAATCTGAAGATGAAGGATGAAAGAATTGCATGTTACCAGTAAGCTGGCAATTGTCAAATTCTGAGCCGTTAGATTTGCTTAATTGGGTGAGACAATGAAAGCTATGGTTAAACAAATGACTTGATAGAACACATCGTAAAGAGTTTTTAAGAGGTAAACGATAAGGTTTTTACTATATATTTTTTAATTTACTCTTTTAAATTTGAAGTGAACGAAGAAACTAACATATTTTAAAATCATTTATCGTAAATATATATTAAAAGATGCATATTTTTAATTAATTTCAGTTGTGAAGTAACCGTTTGTGCCATTGTTTTTAATTATTAAAGCTTTTTTGAAATTTGGGTTTGGTTTAAAAAAAAGTTTAATAATATAGAGGTGTCAAGTGATGGTCATTCAAGGTCCACAATTGGTCTAGGATGAGATCCGAAAGTAGGGAAAGAGAACAATTCATTATTTGAACCAACATCTTATTTAATAAAATAACAATAAATATGAATTTAGGTTTAAGTAATGTTAATTTTGTTTGGAAAACTTCAAACTTGCTTGATGATGTGAAACAAGAAATTAGATGGCTTTGTGATGATGAAAATTACAGTGATGGTTTTTTGTTTTTACAGAAAGGAGCACATGATATATGATGAAAGAGGTTAAGGTAACCCCACATGTGTGATGATGACCAAGTTTAAAGACAAGGAAGTTAGTGCTTACCCTATCCCTTTTGTTTAATAATAACACAGGATTTTAGCCTTTTTCACAACCTCAATGGGTCTCTGTACTTTGTTATTCTTTTTAAGGTAAGGACAAGGCCTATGTTTCAAACAAAAAAGTGTTCAAAAGTTAAAATTTTATATCATACCATGTAATTTCTGGGTGATTTTCCCACCCTAGCCCTCTTTATTTCTCTGTCAGATATCGTTCAGATTATATTTTTTGATATAATATCTTTAGTAGAAAGACACGTCCCTACACCGCGCTTTACGCTGATCTGACGTCACGTTGGGTAAGCGCGCCCCCTACAACGCGCCTTGGTAAAAGTGTAAAAACTCGGATGTTAGTTTTGTAAATAATTGTAAACTGTGCCTAATATGTAATTAATTTCTGTTAGGGTGATATTTGTGTAAAAACACCAATTTTATCTATTTTTTAATATTATTTTTAACAACAATTAATAATGTTTATTGACGTTTAAAAATAATTGTTTAAAAATATTAAAATAAACTTTTAATTATAAGTGAGAGATCAAATGAATTATTATTCATTTTTTAAAATAAATAAAAATGCAATAAAAATGAATTAAAATGAATAAAATTCAATAAAAATATAATGTAAAGCTAAAAAATATAATCTCTTTATTTAAAATATTCTTTCTAATATGAATTTTAAAAAATATAAAATAAATATTAAATTTTAATTTTATTGAAAATGAATAAACATTATTAACTGTTGTTAAAAATAATAATTAATGAATAAACATTAATTTTAAAAGTTTATTTTAGTCAAGTTTATTGTTGTCTAAATATCAACTCAATTGTACCACGAATAAACATTCGATCAAAGAGTTGATATTTTCTGCTCAATATTCACAAAAATTGTTTTGTCTCATCATTTTCTCTCGCGTATGAGTTCCTTTCTTTTTATAACATTCATGCAAAAGAATATATGTATTGTGTAATTTCATGCAAAAATCAAAATTTGTCGAGTTATAAAATAATTTGCAAATGAATATTTAAAAGTATTTTAAAATATGAATAATTTTATAAAAGTTTTATAACTATTATTTCTTTTACAAAATGATGATGATGATAATAAATATTTTATAATTTAAAAAATTATAAATTTCATATATTTTTGAAAAAATTTATTGACTTTTAATATTAATTGTTTAAAAATATAAAAATATTAAAATAAATTTTTAATTACAATTGACTTTTGCAATAAAAGTCACTATATTTTTTATTTTTGTGTGTGCACGTGGACAACTATATTTAACAGAAAATAATTGAAAAAGAAAGGAGCTCATATGCAGGATAAAATGATGAGACAAAAAAGTTTTTGTTAAGATTGAGCGGAAGATATCAACTCTTTGATCGGATGTTTATTCGTGGTACAATTGAGTTGATATTTAGACAGCAGTTAGACAACTTTGAGTTATTGACTTTGTACAATCGAATTTTCATTCGATTTCTGTATCTTTCCACACCTACGACTGTTTAACAACCATAAACTTGACTAAAATAAACTTTTAATTACAATTGAGGAATCAAATGAATTATTATTCATTAATTATTATTTTTTAACAACAGTTAATAATGTTTATTCATTTTTAATAAAATTAAAATTTAATATTTATTTAATATTTTTAAAATTAATATTAGAAAGAATATTTTAAATAAAGAGGTGATATTTTTTAGCTTTACATTATATTTTTATTAAATTTTATTCATTTTTAATTCTTTTTATTGCATTTTTATTTATTTTTTTAAAAAATGAACGATAATTCATTTGATTTTTCAATCGTAATTAAAAGTTTATTTTAATATTTTTAAATAATTAATTTTAAAAGTCAATAAACATTATTTAATGTTATTAAAAATAATATCAAAACAAATAAATAGATAAAGTTAGCGTTTTTACACAAATATCATCTTAACAGAAATTAATTACATATTAGGCACCAGTTTAAAAATATTTATAAAACTAATACCCAAAAGTTTTACACATTTAACAAGGCATGTTGCGGGGCACGCCTTACCCCACGTGGCGTAAAGTGCGGTGCAGGACGAGTTTTTCTGCAAAGGGTGTTATATCAAAAAATATAGTATGAACGGTGTCTGACAGGGAAATAAAGGAGGCTAGGGTGATTTTTCGGAAAATCACCTAATTTCTGTCTTTTAATTTATTTAAATTTTGCATTATAGAACGTGACCCCATTACATGTGTTTGAAAAAAAACAAATGAAACTGGTATATCATGTACCTTCTTTATCTGATAAGTTGTAATTTATGTTATTTGGATTCTTTATTTATTTAGTAATATTTGAATTTATAATTAATTGACAACGCATATTCATCCTACAAATACAACTGGTAGAACTAATTTATAAATTTATAATAAACATAGTTATATTTGATATGATTTTTAAATTAACATTTTTGTAACTTACTTTCTCTTGGGTTGTCCTTTATTGATACATTGTGTTTGTCTATAGAAAAATTAATATAAAAAAGTGGAGAAAAGAATAATGCATTAAATAAGAGTATTTGCATGTATTATTAAAAAATAATTTTAATTATTTTTCTCCCTTCGAAAAAAATATTTTTTTAGTTTTGTTTGTTACAAATGGGCTATGGGCTTTTCATTAAAATTTGGGTTTCAATGTTAAAACTGTAAAACCAAATAAGTTTATGGGTAAAATATAATAGAGGTCACTAATTTATGCTCGTATTACAATTTTAGTCATTACCTTTTCAAAAATTATAAAATTATCATTAAAATTATCAAATTGTTATAAAGTGATCATTCTAACACTATAATAATTATAAAATTTTGATATTTTATAATGTTTAAAAGTTCACAGGTTAAAACGATCATTTGGGTGGTTCTAGTGAGATCGATTTTATGGATTCACTAATTTAAGAGGTTGAGTTTTATGCTCTTAATGAGTCCATAACTCATGATTTTGGTAGTCTTTGTGAGACGAACATGATGAGCTTACCGAATTTACATGATGAACTATTAAATATTCTTAATGAATTCATATCTCAGGTTGTGGGTGACCTTTGTGAGACAAACTTTATGAATTTACTGAACCTTAAAATTAAGAGGTTGATCTTATTTTAAGATATATGACCTAAATTTACTCTATTACGAAACTTGATGAAGAAATTAATCGTGTGTTGTGAGTTTACTCTTATTTTAATAAGTTCCAAATTATTCACTTGTTAAGATAAGATTTGATTATTTCACTACATATTAGTTCCACATACGTTCACTAACACTTAAACGACTAATTTCATTGTTAGTTTTTTCTCGTATTTCAAAACTCTCTACTTATTTACGTTAGTGTGGATGAGCAATGTAATTAGTGGGAAAGAATTTAGGGAGTGAACTATTCACAACTAGGGATTGATTGGAGTGGGTATTTGCCATTTTATAATTTTATCCCTCTATCCCTATAAAAAGAATAGTCTCTGTATATAATTTGTACAGGTAATCAATGGTTCCGTTTTTTCCCTCTAGAAAAAAATTATGTCGAAGAAAGCAACACAAGGGAGTTTCACTTCTTCATTTGAACTGTATAAAATTTGGAATATTGCATTAACCTTGGGGGCAATGTCTAATATAGGGATTACATCATTCTAAACGAAATTGCTTCTAAAATAGTAATTTCTACTTTCTATCACGTCACAATAATTATATCCTTTTGTTTCTTTATTTATTGTTATTACGTGATAATCAATACTGACTTCGTTGTTTTACAGTAGTACTTTTACTAACACTATCAACGCTTGAAAAAGGTTGTATGCATCAGGAAAATGGAACTTTTATATGACCATGTTTGAGACTTGAGTGCACAGACCGTGAGATGCAGTGGTTTGTTGGGAAACTGGGAGAAATTTAACTGTTTGTTTAATGTGATTAGATTGCAGAAACTGCAGGGAAGCTTTGAGATTCCTATTAATGCTGATGAAGTGTATGAGCACCTTGCTTTTGGGGACAATCCATTTGTACCAATGGGAGTTTTCGGATGAATAGTTCCGGTCCTAACTCTAGGCTCTCTATCAAAGAGATGGATCGTACGTGCGTGGATGACGATTTGGTTGGTTTGTCATAAATGATCCCTCTGGCATGTTTAAGAATCCTAAGATCATTTTCTTTCTCATTGGATTCTCGATGTTATACAATAATGAACCATGTAGTGCATCTTTTGTTTCTGGTAGTTGTCTATTTCGAAATAATGATGCACATGAAGTTTCCGAGCTACTTAAGTTTGGCACTATAACGTCTCCGCCGACTTTTGTTCTGCAGATAATAGCTTTCTTGGGCAATATAACGTCATGGTACTGGTTTATTAATCTATTCTTCCACCCAGTCTCCATGAATTCTTGTTTTGAGTCGTCAAAAACTGGTTTATCGAGTTAGGCAAAATAAAACTACACTTTTTAATGCAAAAAAGCTGCATTTTTATCCAAATTAAGGCATAGTACCATACAAGTAAAATTTTATTAGTTCATAAATCACAACCTGGTTTGATGGCAAGCAATTTTCTATTAATACTCAACATGATTCCTCTCTACCCTTCATTTGAAAGACCGAAACAATTCCATGGCTTGGAGCAGAGAATACTTGGATTTTGCTTTGGTCCCAACTGGTTTATTGATCTTGTCTATTTACCATGTTTTCCTTCTTTATCGATGCCACAAATTCCCTGAAACTACTGTCATTGGCCTCGAAAACCATTTCAAGAAAGCCTGGGTCGAAAGGATGATGCAGGTTCAGGCAAAAGATAGAGGATTATCATTGACGATGATCGACGGCACGATATCGGCGTCGATTTTCCTAGCGACGACATCGCTGACGTTGAGTTCGCTCATCGGAACATGGCTAGCGGATGCGTCTCAGCAAAGCCTCATCAAAAGCAGCCTCATTTACGGCAACACGAGCTCGTCGATCAATTCGATCAAATACATAGCACTTCTCATCTGTTTCCTGCTGGCATTAGGCTCGTTTCTCCAATGCGTTCGCAACTTAGTTCATTCGAGTTTCTTGATTACCATGCCGAATGCAGATATCCCGGTGAGTTACGCCCAGAAAGCAGTGATAAGAGCAGGTGCTTGTTGGTCGATTGGGTTACGAGCTATTTACTATGCTACCGTGTTGTTGCTTTGGATTTTTGGGCCAATCCCAATGTTTATTGGCTCTTTGATTATGGTGATGGTTTTTGCATTTGCTTGATAGAAATATCACCCCATTGCATCAGTTTGAAGAAGCTAAGTTGATCGAGTAATATGGTTAATAAGGTGATCAGCTACGAGTCTCATGCAATAGCTGGTCGACTTACTCAGCATCATGATAGGTTAAATCAGAATACAAGATGTGACGTTATAATCGTTATTTATATTAACAATGAGACACACTATCTTCAATATATATACTAATAAATCTTATGAATATTTATTATTTATTAATATCTCTTTTTATGATTATAATTCTATTTGTTAAATAAAAAATTGATGTATTTTGTTATTAGGATTTTAATATCGTTGTGACTATAGTTATATAAGATGTTGACTCCTTATGATTATAAATATAGCATTTAGATAAAATTTTATATTAAAAAGTAATATAAAATTTTCTCTTTATTTTTCATATCTTTTGTTCATATTCGTATTTTTTTATCGTAAATATTTTTTTTCTTTTCTTTTGCATCCTATGCAATTTATATGATATGAAAATTAAGCATACCATACTATAATATATATACTAGACTATACGTTAATTGTGTGTATTTAAAAATTTAAAATATTTTCAATAAATTAAAAAAGTTATGAATAAATATTATTTTATAATCACTCGTATTATTTAAAATAAATTACTAAAATTTATTAATTAATTTTAGTGATAAAAATATAAAATCGTTAGGCATAAACGGCTTCTATATGACTGTATCACTACAAATACAAATTAGGAAACCGGCAAAGTAATATAGAGTAGTAATTTTCAAGTTAAATATTTTTTTTAATTTATATAATTGTGTTTGGGTTTGGATGATATATTTGGGTGCGTTAGGTTTATTTTGGGGTTGGGCTTGGATAATATATTTGAGATGGTTTGAGTTTAAATATTTTTTTTAAAAAAATAAATAAATTTAATGGTATTTTTATTATCAATTCATTTAATTTTGAATTTAAAAATTTGAAATTAGATTAATTTAATCGTTTTAGCTAATCCTTCCAATCAAATCAATTCAATTTGAGTCATTTAACTATTTTCATTTGACTTTTGTTCACTCCTAATCTGTAGTTATCATTCTTTTATTTGTAATGGGAAGAATGTTCGATCAATTTTCATGTATATGGTACTATTTTAATGTTCTAATATATATCAATTTTTAGATTTAAAAAATATTATAACTATTAAAATTTAATTTTAAATTAGACGTAGCAAGGTAATCCACCAGAGAAAAAGGATGAACGCAACCACGTAAACGTTGCGTGCATAATAGCTAGACTCTTTCAACTGGTACAACTATTTTCTAATTTAACCTTTTCTGTTGATATCTCTTTGTAGCACACGTGGCCAAGGATAGACCTAAAGTTACGGGTAAGACAGTCCTCTCCTAAAAATTTTAAATTTATATATATTTTAAATATTTTTTTGTATATTTTTATTAAAAATATATTCTCATCTTTGAAATTTTATAAATTTATCTCTCCTTACAATTTTAAAATTTTACCTTCCAACATAAATTCATACTTCTATCCTACATATTCTCAAAAATATTAATTATTAATAAGAGAAAATAAAGACACTCAATGACATGGATGATATTTGTTGGTCAATACAAATCCATTTGAAACTGAGAATTTGTCCAATTTGTTTTTTATCACTCCTTTTCTCTCTCAATTGTATAAAAAAATTATTTTTCTGAACCCCTAGCCTAGGTTTACTCCTCCAAAATCAGTATTAAATATATTTTTTATACAATATTATCTATATTATTTTAATAAATGTTTTTTTTTTATAAAAATGTATCAATTTTCAAAATATTTTGAAACAATATTATTGTTTATACACTATTTTTCTTCCATGAGTCGTCTCTTCCTATCCATTCACACATTGAAAATTGGAATCACGCAAAATTAATGTACATACACATGATTAGTTTATGTTGGTATAATATTTTTAACAAACCCTCCTTTTATTATTAGTTTGGGTGATTACTAATATATTATTTTGTTTATTAATAAGAATAATTTATCTATCGACTTAAGTTAAAGATTAGAATTATAAAATGATAATACGAGTATATAAATTTATATAAAAATATTTAAATTAAAATACAAATAAGTTAATAAGAGTTAAGGTATCGGTTTAATGATAAAATTGATGTTTTGAGAAATTGTCAATTTTTCTTTGAGGTTCACTTTAGTTGTTCATCTTGTATTTTTCAAGAAGTAATAAGAAGACATTATTAAAAGCTTGGTTGGACGCACAACTGAGAGAATTGAATTAAATACGCATAACTTCATAGCCCGCACGCATCTGTTTAGGACAAGGGCAAGAGACTCTATGTAGGAGCGTCTAAAAATTAAACTTTCGTCTTTGGGGACAATGATAGGAGATTATAACGGTCTTTGATGTTATGTTCTTTTTAGGGTTTTAGTTTTTTTTTCTTCTATTAATTAATATTTAATTTATTGATCGATTAATTTAATTTAAATATTATATAATTATATTATAAAAATAATTTTTTTATTTTATTCACAATATTAAAATATAATATATTGATTGAATTTAATATTTCATCTTATTAGATTAATTAATTATTGATTAATTTCTTAACATTTAATTTCTTAACATTTAATTTCCCCCTCTACTTTTAGGTGTTTATTTTTCACAACTTTTTCCTTTTCCGTTGAATTTAGGGAAACAGACGATGTTAATTAATGTTGTTATTGTTATAATAATAATATCTCTTTATATTATGATTAAAAAATTCAAAAAATTAAATTCAAAAAATATATCAACTGAATTTAATTTAATTAGAATATATATATATATATATAATTCACAACGACGACGTGATATAATGACAATTTACATGATATGTTTAAGATAATTATTCATTTTCCTATTTAATCCAATCTATTATTTTTATCAATATTTTTTTAATATTTTAAATTGATACTACCAATCATTAATTAGGTATCGTACAAAAGAAATTAGGTATCTAACTTTGGTATCAATACATAAGTATATGGACGAACACAATATATTATGTTAGGGAGCAGACTTTTAAAATTTTAAAATAGACGAATTTATAAAATTTTAGGAGAACAAAAATATATTATCAATTGAAAATATAAAAAAGAAAAACCTAAAATATATACTAGTTTAAAATTTTCATGGAGACGACTGCTCCCACTCATCTCCCGTTCGTTCTATCCATGTATGATGTGTGTGTGAATGGTTGAAATCTGACAAAATTATGTTTATCATTTCATAAATGAGAAATTAAGAATAAAGAATGTTGATAGAAACAAATTTATTTTATCAGTTGTTGGTGATTTATCCCTTTTGATTTAAGTAAAGAGAAACAATTAATGAAATAACCATCGTTGACTAACGATTATCTATGATAAAAGATGAAAGTATAGGAGAAAGATGGAAATCAATGATCGAGCATTGTAAATATCAAGGATATGAACATTTATATTTAAACATATATTGTCTTGTATTAATCTGAGATTTATAAAAAATATTGAAAACTACTACAACTTATATTTATATATTTTCCTTAATTAAAGATGATTGTTTTCTTTTTCTTTTTTAAAATTTCAAGGTTTTTAAGTGTGTAATTATTTTAACGTTAATTAATTAGTTTGAATATAACACTCTCAGACCGATGCGGGTGACCCGATTCGATCCGAGGTGTCACATTAGGGCCACCAGAGTGACCCACATAAAAAATAAGGAAAAATTAAATTTTTTGTTAAAACATGTAAAGTCATAAAACAATTTATAAATAAAATACAAGTTCAAAAAATCATTTATATATTAAAAAATAGGATTCAACTTACATGTCCCCTAATTACATGCACCATACTCCGCAAACAACGTCGGTGAGACTCCTTTACTGATGTCAGTATAAGCACAAGATCAAATTCTTTAACCTAAAATGGTAAGTACAGAGTGAGTTTTGGAAAACTCAGTAATACAGAACTGCCAGATGAATGCAATAGGTATTCGGGTATATGATAAAGCATAGCTTTCCTTAGTGGGACATACATCATCAGATTATATCGATGATATCAGATTCCATTAGCCTTCAGTTACAAACAAGGATTTACGGTCCGAAAGAAGTATTAAGATGGAAATATTTAGAAGATTAAATTGGGGAGTATAGTGTGTTCCAACAAAACGAAGAAATGTGTTCAAATCCTTTAAAAACATTAGTAGTTTAAAACATATTTTAAAGTTGAGGTAATACCCTCTAACCGAACACCTATATGTAGTTTCCCCATAACTGCATCCATAAGGACTTAACCTAAGCACACAACAAATGAGCCACTCTAAGGGAGTACCATGGGGCCGATGGGCTTACCTAAGAGTCTCCTTAGGTCTATAAGGAATTACCAACTTGATCAGAGTTGAACCTCCATACTCCAAAATCATACCCATACAGTATCCAATAGAAATAAAATTGAACAGTAACTTTAATATCAAAATCATGATCCAGTAGAATGTTATAAAATGAAAATGCAGTTATTTAAATCACATGAATGCTCTCCATCCGTACACCAAAATACAATCCCCATACTAAGGGAGTGCCTTAAGGCCTTAGAGCCTACCCAAGGAATACCTTATGTTCGTAAGGAATTACCAATTTTATCAGAGCTGAACCTCCATACTCCAGCCAACCCAGATTGTGTCCCTATAAAATAGTTCAAGTAGTAACCAATAGATTCCATGATCCATAAATTAGGAACAATTATATTTTCCAGTGAAAACAGATAACCAGAGATCACTTATCAGGTAGCCATAGTTCATAACCAGTAAACCAATACATCATCAAATCATAATAACGAACAGTTAAAAGATTCAGTAAAACAATAACTTCACTAAATCACATTTCATGCCATATAAAATAATCATATATCACATAGGGAACACACTAGAGGATCTAGTTATTTTTTTTGGAGGTACTTAGTATTTATCAGGTAGGGAGCCACAAAATTTCTGTAAATTGATTGAATTTTAAAATGACGTCAATATAAAAAGAGAGTTTGATAGCTAACAGATTCATTAGTCATTTGGGAATTGATTTATCAAGATCATAGTATCTAGATATTTTTTGAAGGCACTAAGTAATCAGGAAGGTATTCAGAATCTTTTACGTCAGAGTTACTTGAGATTTCAGATATAACAAGAGTGATTCCATTATTAAAGAAATCAGAGGCATTTT